AGCAGAGAAAATAGGACAATTGCGCTAGATCATGTAATAAAACAGAGGAAAGAAAATCTGCTGGTCTATGGTGCCACACAGTATCACCGGGACCAGCAAATGCCCTCTTAGAGAGGGTATCAGCAACCATGTTTGCCTTCCGAAAAACATGTGCAATGGACCATCGATGAGAAGAAAGTCTGGTGCAGCAACTATCTGCAATCGTCTTTAGCCGCCATAGAGCACTGCATCGATTCTGAATGACATTCACAAGCAAGGCTGAATCACTTTCTATCTGTAATGGAAAGCAATTCCTTTGATGAACCAATTGAATTCCTTCCTCAAGTGCCAAAAATTCTGTATTGTTATTAGAAGCAAAACCAAAATGCTTCGCAAAAGCAACAATGAAACCGCCCTCTACGTTCCTGATGACTCCACCACCACCTGCTAAATCTGGATTTCTCACGAAAGCACCATCAATATTGAGCTTGTAATTCTGAGCATCAGGAAAAGAACACGCCACCGAAATAAGAGATTCTGACCTCTGCTGACGCCAAGTTATCTGAAGATTACCAATTATGGCATTTTCTGATAAATGGAAAGACCACTTTTTAACTTCTGCTAGTGCCTGAACATGTAAGATAATCCGTTTCACAATAAGCTCTCTCCTGGTGGATCTTGACTCAAAGACTCTTCTGTTCGCTCTTCCCATAGAAACCAAATAGCAGTAAAAAAGATGGAAGACCAAATATTACGAAGTTCATGTGATTTAAACCTGAAAAATAACCACCACCTAAGTAAATCAGGGACAGAAGTAACGAGGACAAATTGTTTTCCACATCTCCAAGCTAATGATCCCCATACATGCTGCGCAAAAGCACATTGGAATAATAAATGGACAAGGCTATGATCATGGTTGCTACAAAAGGGACATAAAGAGTCCAGTTGCATACCCCGCTGCTGCAATAAAAATGAGGTGGGCAATCGATTATGCAAAGCCACCCATGAGAACCATTTCGCCCGTGGGTGGCATTTAGAGGACCAAAGTGCACGGAAAATAGGCTGTGATGAACCTTGATGCCTAATAAAATCCCATGCCCCTTTAATAGAAAATAGGCCATCAGCAGAGTGAATCCAGACCAGTGAATCCTTTTTGGGCTGTAGAGGAAGAGTATAATTGTCAACCTCCCTCCACATATTTATCAAAAAATCGGATGTGGGATGTAGCAGAACCCAAGACTGAGGTGAACCTCTGATAAAGTCTAAAACCCTCCCCCCCGCAGTAGCCCCCAAATCCCCTTGAATGTCATTATCATGCAAATTTGAAAGCAACTGACTTGCTAACCATGGATCCACCCCGAAATCCATCATCTGACCATTACCAATATTCCACTGTACATTGCCTTTTAAGTGAAATAAGCCAAGTAAAATCTCCTTCCATGCATGAGAACATCTTCTTCTTCCTTCAGCCTCCTCCTATATAGAGGAATTTCTAAAATATCGATGTTTGAAGAACCGTGCCAACAAACGAGGATGGATTTTCCAATATCCTCCATGTTAACTTCATCATTCATGAGCTATTGAAATCCGCCATTTCCCTTACCCCGAGACCTCCTTCAGCCAGAGTGAGACACACTGTTTTCCATTTTATAAGATGAACACCTTTTTTCTCTGCTTCACCAGCTCATTTTCCCTTTTAAATATCCCATGGGTGAGCCATTCCTCAAAACAAAGAAGGAAGAAGAAGAAATACACAAATGGACCCAAGAAACAAATAACTCAGGAAAACCCAAAGCATGCATCCTACCCACAATAAAATCTCAGGAAACCCTATCATAGGCATTGCTCAAATGGATTTGCAGATACATTTTAGGCCGAGCTGAATTCCTATGGCAAAGAGACATAAGTTCAATTGCCATAAGAATATTATCTGTAATAAGCCTACCTTTCAAAAATGCAGCTTGCTTGGGGTCGATAAAATCATCAAGAACAACTCGTAGCTGAATAGAAATTATTTTGCTGATGATTTTGTACAAGACATTACACAACCCTATAGGTCGAAAGTCTTTCATCACCTTAGGTGTATCCACTTTAGGAATCAAACATATAAAAGTGGAATTGATTTGCTTGAGAAGCTTACCTTTAGTGAAGAAATCTTTAAGGTCCAGAAATAGATCCTTTTTAATGACTTCCCATCCAAACTTGTAGAATTCCACTTAAAACCCATCAGGACCTAGGGCACTTTAATTTTTCATATCCAAATGCATTCTTTGATCTCCTCCATATTTACTATGTCCATTAATTTTTCCTTCTGAGAAGAATTGAGATGAAATGGCGGCAAGAACTGATCAACCATGTGCAGGTCAATATTGCTCTCCTGAGCCAATAGGTCTTTGAAATAGCCAATCATATGATTTTCAATGTCAGCCTCAGTAGACAAAAATTTCCTATGCTGATCTTTCAAAGAGATAATTCTATCTTTCCTCCTTCTCACCACAGCCGATAGATGAAAATATTTGGTATTGAAGTCCCCCTCTTGTAACTAGTTTTGACGTGATTTTTGCCTTCATGGCCCAGAAGAGTTTGCAATTTCTGAGTACACTCTTTTTCCTCAGACATGAATGTCTCATTGGAAGGATCCATGTGTAAGCTATCATGCAAAGATGATAGTTGATGTTGAACTATTGCAATGGATTCCCCAACATAGCCAAACACATCCTTGCTCCATAACCGAAGGTTAGTCCTAAGCCTCTTAAGTTTAGAAACAAAGCGAAACAAGGGTGCCCCCCTCACTTGGCCTTGCTAGGAATTAAAGTTAACATCTAAAAAACGCGATGCAGCTCCCACATAGAGAAATACTGAAAAGGTTTGGGCCCAAGACCCAAATTAGAAAGAGAGACGAGTAAGGGACAGTGATCTGAGGTGCCTTTAGGGAGTAATTGGATTTTGGACTCAGGTAAGGGCAAAACCCAATCAGTAGTTGCTAATGCCCGGTCGAACCTTCTTCTAATACATCTTCTGCTCAACTGGTTATTAGACCAAGAGAACCAGCCTCTGACTACACCAAGATCAGCAAGAGCAGATTCCGACATTACTTGAGCAAAATCGCCTGAATCTAGTGATAAAGAAATGCTACCCCCCACTTTTTCTGAGGAATCCAATAGAGTGTTAAAATCTCCTAATACCAGCCAGGGAAGAATAATAGTTGCTCCTAAAGCCCTCATACGGTCCCAAAGCACGGCCCTTTGGGACACATGATTAGATGCATAAACTCCTAAAACAATTGAGAAGTTTCCATTACAAATATGAGTAGCCTCGACAGTTATCATCTGATCAATTACATCAATCATTTTGATTGAGTAAATTAAAGGATTCCATAGGACTAAAATTCTGGATCTACCCTCGATCTCATTAGCAATAAAGTTATTATAAAATCCCAATGTAATTGTCGCGGAATGTTGGAAAAGAGAGAGACACATACTTGGAGGCAATCGAAAAGCAGAGAAAGTACAAGGAGATGTGATTCAAGTGGTTGGCAAAATAAATATTTGTGGAGAAGAAGATGATGAGGAAAGAGAAGCAAAACCACATTCATCTTGGCAGACGATAGTTGATTGGCCTGATACTTATGCTATCCCGGACATTGTGATGTTGTTAAGAAGACAAGGGAAAATGAAAAAGAGTGCGACATGGTCTAAGTCCAAAGCCCACATTCCCTGGATGTTAAGTTTAAAGCCAATGCTAATGAGAGCTCGGAGGTGGATTTCAGGAGCATCTGGTACTTGTTTACCAGCCACCAAAGAGGAAGCAACCTCACCCACTGGATTATGAGGGGATTACCGCTTTGACAGCAGGTATATAATGAGTTTGCTCATCTTTTCCACAAAAACTATTTTCTCCAAAACCCTGCATGCAACAGATATATACTTGGGTTTGCTTTCCATCTTTTTCTATAAAAAACTATTTCTCCAACACAATGCATGCTAATCTAGGCAGATCTACATTTGATGTTGTAGATTCCCTTATTTATTGCTGATGTAGCTATGAACAAAAAAGTCCTATGATACGTACGCACACACACAGGCACTCATGCAAGCACACACGAAATATCATATTTATATAATCTTCTTAAACTAATTCATATATAACATATCATATTACTGAATTCTCATATATAATAAACATATAAATTATTTTAAAATTCTATTCCTCCATTTTTTTGGGTTTTTTGAATATTATTGTCATTTACGGATACAACTCTGAAAAAATTAGATATCTCTACTTAACAAGGGCTGGATCTTTCCTCGATTCTTAGCTATGTGCCTTTACAATTTTATATGAATTTCATGCGGAAAATGCCAAAAAGAGCCCAAGGATCCTGCATGGCAATCCACTGTGAGTGTAGACCATACTAGAGAGAAGAGAAAAATAAAAATAAAAAAAAGAAAAAGAATGGAGATAACTTGCTATATTAATAACCTTAAACATAATTGGGCAACGGCAAGGGAAGACACATCAAAATAAAAGGAAAATTGCTTAAAACATAAATTAGAAAATATGAAACACATAGGCAATATTTTCATTACCAAACTTTCTTCAATTTTTCTTATTATTTTAATATCTATTGTTGAAAATATCTGACTTTTCTGCATTATCTTCAAAGACTCGTGATAAGACTGGTGAGTTGAGTCGACTTTTGGGAAAGTCCAATGATGACTCTGGTACTTTAAACATCTATAAAGAAGTATCATAAGGGAGGACTGAGTACAGCTAGTGAGAATTTCTTGATGCATTCTTTCAAGCAAATAGTACATATGTTTATTCCGATGCTTCTAGAAGCAAATGGGATTAAGAACTTTGAGCTGCCTTTAATGCCTAGAATGGATAAGATTCAGCTCTGTAAGATTATCATTAATCAGGCATAAGCTATTCCATGGTAATAAAAAGCCAATAAAACAAAAGAAAAATGTAATATAGCTTTTTAAAAGAAAAAGTACAGCAATATTGCATGAAATTCAAACCTGGAAAATAATGATGTTCCGCAAAATAGACATTATATCAGCTTTACAAGGAGAAAGACCTTGGAAAAAACGAGTATCCTTATGCATGAGGACAAGGATTTGAGCAATGGCAAGGACCTTATTCGACTGGTCAGATGCAGTATGCGAGCCTGCGGAAAAGGATGCATAATATATCAAGATCTTCTGTAGGAACTACTAACAACAATCACAAATTGAGGTAAAGGCACAGAATATCACATGGCATGGTGGCAGATCCAAATGACTTTAACACTGAAGAAAGAAGGCCATAGTTTCTGTTGAAGAGGTAAAAGCAAGGCCATATGCAGTATTTCCAAAAACTTCTACAATCAATAATTGCTGGCCCATCATCTTTCAGCATATGCTTCTGTGTCGAAATGAGAAAATAAAAAGCAAGTGAGAAATAGTAAGAGGACAGAATTACACCAAGATCAGTACATACAGAATTTTGTTCTTAATAAACCGGTAATTTAAAAGGAAGTTAAAGTGCACATCGTATCTCAACCATTGAGTAAATATGTCACAAAATCGTAGAAGAGCAACAATAACGACTCTCGGTCTGATGGTTAAAAAATAAAGTCCACTGGCAGGACAAGAAACATATGGACACAGTTCTCCTGAGGTTCATTGCATTGGTAAAAATGGTTCAGTAGATTAAATTCATGAATTTCCAGATGTAATGGGCCAGAGTACATAGAGCGATAGTTCTTAGAGGACAATGAACAACAAAAAATTCTCTTCGAACTTCAAGAACATTCTTGTAGCACTTCTATTAAGGTTCATCCACGGCTATGATTTCTTCTTATGTTCATCATACATGGGTCACAATCAGATCATATAATTTAGTGCAAGGTGTTCCATTCATTTCCAACAAGCCACTGTACAAATGAGAACCAGTTAAAAGGGACCAATAAGATGAACTTTTTTTGCAGGTCTCATCAAAATACTGTATCAAGATATGGGGACTCATGGCTTCACTGAAGGTATAGCCCTTGATAAAGTAGAATGGTAGAACATGATTCGTGTAGCCAACCCCAAATAGTTGGGAAAAAGGCTATGATGATGATGACCGAAATATTGTATCAATAATGTGTTATTGATGATAGTATATTAAATTTAAGAATATGACTACGCCTCTCTCTTTATACTGCATAATTGAAAGTTAAACATCAGCTTAGTGAAATGAGTAAAGTATTTATACGATATTAAAAATAACATATTAAAACTAAATTAACAAATTAAGAAACTTGAAGATGATATTATTATGATTCTAATTCAATTACAAATATATTCAGTAAGTGTAAAGTAAGCTAATTTGTGTGTGTCTATATATATATATATATATATATATATAACTTGTTTACTGTTAATAAATAATAACAGAATTATACTCATAGGAATACAATATCTAATTATACATAGAAATACAGAATTATACTCATAGGCATGCAATATCTAATTACACATAGCAATTTGTAATATTTTCATTATATTTAAATACAATAATAATTATTTGTGTATTTAATATATACTTAATACAAAATTACAATGAAATTCTTAATATTCATAATAAGATTTATATCAATATAAAAAATAGAATTAGTAGAATCAAAATGATTAATTATAATCATATTAATTATTATTGACAAATAATATTAATTAATACAAAATTGTAAAAAATTGCAAAATTTCTATTACTTATATGTAAATTTATCTAATTGTTATTATATAATCAAATAAAGTAAATACTATTTAATTATAGTATTTAATAATTAATTATTAAACGAATAGATATTTGGAATTCATAATAAATTTAAATTTATCTAAATTTAGAAATTTTCGTAAAACATTTAAATCTTGTTTGTAAAACATTAGTTGAGAGTATAAATTATCAAATATGAGTGGTAAATTCTAAAAAGAGAATAGGATATAATGGATTATTGTATTTATGCATATGATAATGGAACATAATAGAGAAACAAATCTCTTCCTATTGTATGCATCTTCAATTCATGCCGTTAAAATTTTACTACATGATTGCACTCGTAATAAATATTTAATACATGATTTTTTTTTTGGAACATTGAGTTTATGATTATCTTTACCGACATAATCATCATCATCATCATCCAAGCCTAATCCCAACTATTTGGGGTCGGCCACACGAATCTTGTTTCGCCATTCTGCTCTATCAAAGGCCATACCCTTAGCCAGATTATAAGTCACTACATATCCCTTCCCATTACGTCCATCCATGTTCTTTTGGGCCTTCCCGTTGTCCTTTTAGAGCTTCCACTTGAACCAAATCATCACTCTTAACCGGTGTTGTATTAGGTCTATGCTGCACATGGCCAACCCACCAAGCTTTAGTTTCCCTCATCTTATCACCTATTGGAGCCACCCCTAAGTTCCCTCGCATATATTCATTCCGAATTCTATCCTTTCTTGTCTTGCCACATCTATCTCAACATCATCATCTCAGCTACACTCATCCTATGTATGTTGTTTCTTGAGCGTCCAACATTCCACCCAACATCTTTACCTATATAATAGTATGTTCAATTCATGATCGAATACTTATTGTTTTGTAATATTGGTTTGGATCAAACTTATTGGGGTGTTAATTGAGGGAGAGAGAGAGAGATTGATAAATATGACATTTAATGAGACGCAAATCAATGTGTGCATGAGAGAGAGAGAGAGAGAGAGATTCATTGAGAGATAAAAAGGATCAAATGGTATAACTTAAAATCCAGTAGAAAAATTTGGAATTCAAAAGGACACTTGTCAAAATAATAAGGGGCCTCCCTTCACTTAATATATAGTAGATATCCACAATGTACACACAAATAAACAAGCGCAATTATAACATGAATTATTGTAGTGAATATAGATGTTTTCATATATCAACCATAGTTGCTGGGATCACGAGCAGGTGATTGTGAAAGGCTAGAATGTCTCATGATTGGGAGCGTCATCCTTACAATGCATATGCAAGGAATCAAGAAGCCCAAATGTTAAGGGTATCAATCCCAACCTTTGGAGATCTCGATCCCGACCTTTTAGGATCTTCTCGCAACCTTAAAGAGTATATATAAATTAAGAACTATATTTAAAAGTGAGGGTCTCTTCATTGAAAGCTAACAAGTAATGCAACAATATTAAAAGTTTAGTTGTAAGATCTATTCATTTACAGCCAGCAAGTAATGCAACAATATTAAAAGTATAGTTGTAATGCTAGCTTGCTATAACTAAAGAAATCATCAGCATCGTTGTTATCGTTAACTCGGGGATTGAGATACACAAAATTTTAAAAAAATCAAGATCACTTGAAGATCGCTTTCTCAAGGCCTGTGAAAGGCTAGAAGGTCTATTGGTTGGGAGAGTCATCCTTATGATGCATATGCAAGGAATCAAGAAGCCCCCTTGGAGATCTCGATCCCGATCGTTTGGGATCTTCTCCCAACCTTAAAGAGTATATATAAGCTAAGAACTATATATAAAAGTGATTATCTTTTCATTTATTGCCAACAAGTAATGCAACAATATTAAAAGTATAGTTGTAATGCTAGCTTGCTATAATAAAGAGAATCATTAGTGTGGTTGATATCTTTATCTTAAAGGTGGGGATCGTGATCACAAAATTTTTAAAACATCGAGATCTCTTGAAGATCGCTTTCTCAGGCTTGGAATAAGATTCCAGAGCGGAATTTCTACCTAGGTTAGGAGATATCTTTTAGCACATACTATTGTACTAGAATCAAAAGGTAAACAAGTTACACAAAATAGCAAGGGAGGATTGCCACTAAGTTAACTCTATGTAGAACTTTGTTTCTTAGAATACTACTTGTTAGAAGCAAGAGGCTAGAATGATAACTGATCTCAAGCATAGACTAAATATTGTTGAAACTATAGAAGGCCACTAAGTTAACTCCATGTAGAACTCTTGATTAACCCTGATAGAAGAAGAAGAAAAAGACACAAGAGTCTCCCTTAAGTTTCTTTGGGTCGTGTAAGCACAGTTTGCAAGCCAATAACAGTGGCTCGTCAGAACTCAAACCGCCTAAAACCATGATCATTGATAATCCAAATTCAAGACATGTTCCAAGTGGTCAAAAGTAATATCTAAATGCCAGTCAAACCACTACGTACATGCTTCAAGTTTCAATTAGACTTTGTGGACAAGCTTCACTTAGGTCCATTCATGCATCTGAACCAAACAATTATTTTTAAGCATACGGATTCATTCAATTTTTATACTTGGAAGTGAGGTAGCGCAATGGATTTCCAAAAGATTATCCGTCGTAGTATGAATCATGTACAAATTGTTGGTACACTCCAAAGATAAGCCAAGGGACGTACTTGAGTTCAGGGCTTGTGCCCGGTGGCTCCTTAAAATTGATTTTGCAGTCAATATGAAAAGACTTAACATTATTTCCTTAATGACTTGTCCAGGTTGGGCAAGTCATTAAGGAAATAAATTCAAAATGAATGCATTTGGGACACACCTGAGTTATGGGAGGGGGTGGAATGTTGGGCAGTCAGAAAACAATATATCCATTGGATGAATGTAGTTGAGATGAGGATGTTGAGATGGATGCGTGACAAGACAAGAATGGATAGAATTCGAAATGAATACGTTTGGGAGAACTTAGGTGTGGCTCCAATAGGCGATAAATTAAGAGAAAATAGACTTAGGTAGGCTGGCCATGTGCAATGCAGACTCAGTAGGGTACCTGTTAGGAAGTGTGAGTTGGCTCAAGTGGAAGGCTAAAATAAGATAAGGGGTATGCCCAAAAGACATGGTTAGAAGTAGTGAAAAAAGACATGGGGACTTATGGCCTTACTGAGCGGATGACCCATGATAGAACAGAATGGTGGACCAAGATTTGTATAGACCGACTTCAAATAGTTGAAAAAAGGCTTTGATGATGATGATGATTTGCCCAAGCTGGGGTACGGACCAACAACCCACATGTGCATGAACATGGAAAAACAGTCACCTATAGCCAATGCAAGGATGGTATTATGACTGAACTATTAGGCGCAGCCTGAGAGAGGCCTTGGTAAGCCCTCGAGATATCTTGGTCAAAATAAGATATGTGCAAGCCCTTGGAGAAAGCCCGCGTAACCAAGACTTGAGATCCATATAAACCACATCTTCTCCTCGTGTAAAGTACGAGATCCATAAAAAACACACCTTTTCCTTGTGAAAAATACAACTTTTAATTGACATGCTTCACAAGTAATTGTGAAGTACTCCAGACAGGCAGCCACCTTATAGATGTTAGACTTTATGTGTTGTTCAAGATTTTGCTTTATACCATTCTTTGAAAACAATTAGCAGTCTTTAGAGGTCTTGTTCTA